ATTAGTAATAAGGATTACTGATTATTTCCTATTAGAAACATTTCAAATCAGTAAACATAGTAATATATTTTTAAATTTTTAATAAAAATTTATTCTATTAGTCTATATGTTTAAAAGAAAAATGCTTCATAAATTAAGGTGAGTGAGGAATGACTTCTGAAAAAGCACTTATATCTTGGTAAATCTACTAATTTATAAAATAATTTAAAAATCACCAGTAACAATATTAAAACCAATATTTTCAGAATCCTGGAACTTAAGCAAAAACTAGCAAAAATTTGAGGACCATTTATTCAAAAGAAAACTGCTAAGCTTTAATAATAAGAGAAGTACTTGCAACATTTTAATTTGTCTTACTTCAATTCCTCTAAGAAATACTGCAGTATTCTTGAAAACCATCACTTTCAGAAATATAGTAACTGTAAAAACTTGTAGGCATATGGTCAACAAAAGGGGCAGAGCAGTATTGGAACTCCACAAAAATTCTCCTCATCTCAAGCATTATTACTATTAGACCTCTGTTAGCTCCTCAAACAAACAAAAAAACACTCAGGTGCATTGTCCTTTGATCTGATTCTCAGCTCACTGTGTGCAAGAAAGCCTATCACCAATGCATTTACTAAGAACAATCAGAGGCAATTGCTTAACATCACAGTTGCCCGATTGTTTTGCATCACATTTGTCTGATGTTGTCTGATATTGTAATACTAGTTGGGGCAAACAAGAGTCTGGCTGAAAACTTAAAAGGAAGACTTTAGAAATGAGATCTCCATAGAAAATTTTGAAAAGCTCTGACATATTCCTTGTAGTTTACAAGGCAATGGGCATGTTCAGGGCTGTGCATATAGCCAGGAAAGACCTGCAAGTGTCTCCACCTCTCATGTCTGGGTCATCTTGAGGACATGCACAAGGGGACATGAAGTCTAAGGTGAAGTTGTAAGCTGCCAAAATGTTGAAGGAGTGCTATACCACCATACAGGGATTCCCTTGGCAAAGAGTAGAAAAATTATTGGATCAAGATATTTAAGGAGATCTCTGAATAATTACTAGTGAATCACTGAGGTAGCAAAGAGAGAACTGTGAGTCCACACACTATGAGAAATAAATACTTTATGTAATTAATAGAATTAATCTAAGAAGGTCAATAACAGCAACAACAACAAAAAGTAGCAGCAACAAAACAACTGAAACATTACTGAGGATAGAAAGGAAGCCAATTTTTACAACTGACACATTATATTATATAAAAATTTTCAGTATTCAAAAAATATACAAGACACACAGGGAAAAGGATAGTATAGTTTATATACAGAGGGGGAAAATTTCAACAGCAGCTTTCCTGAGGGGTAACAGATGTTTGACTAAAGAAGGAAATAAGTAGAACTTAGTCATTTTAAATATCAAGCAATAAAGGAAATGATAGTTGAAGAACCTTTATAAAAGCATGGCAACAATAACTCAAGAAAGAATTAAGTTAGTAAAAATATTTAAAAACTAGAGTTGTAAAAAACAACTAAAGTTAAAAATGATTACATAGGGGTCAACAGCAGATCTGGATATCAGAAGAAAGAAGCAGTAAATTTCATCATAGGTCAATTGAAATTATGCTCTCCGAGGAACAGAAAGAGAAAAGAATGAGAAAAATAATGCTTTAGAAAAAGAGCTTGAAACGTTTTTCTCTTAAATTTCAGATAGCTTGTCTACATTAAATTAATTTTCATTTATCAGTTTTCTTTTTGATTTTGAAAGTAAACTACATATTTTATTGGTATCCCTGGCATCTTATTTGACTGGCCACCATGGGACAGTCTCTGGAGACTATGTTCTTTATAGGAGAAACACAGGAACACTAAGCACATAGAAGCTCCAAGGAGTTTACAGTGTTAACATGGCTGTGCCAGAGGGATATGGCTACTGCTTTGTGTTTAGACTTTTCCCAGTTCCCTTTTTCTTTGATATTAAATCTCCTAAAGAACCTATCAGCCCTCCAGACTGGAGGGGCATGTTGAGCACTCAAATAGCCTGTTATAAAGCAACCATAACTGCCAACTTGACACAGAGAGCTTCCTGATTCAATGGCAAACACTATCATATTTTTTGTTTGTTTGTTTGTTTGTTTGTTTTGTTTTGTTTTGTTTTGAGACAGAGTCTCGCTCTGTCTGTCGCCCAGTCGCTCTGTCGCCCAGGCTGGAGTGCAGTGGCGCGATCTCGGCTCACTCCAGGCTCCGCCTCCTGGGTTCAGGCCATTCTCCAGCCTCAGCCTCCCGAGCAGCTGGGACTACAGGCGCCCGCCACCGTGCCCGGTGAATTTCTTTTTGTATTTTTAGTAGAGGTGGGGTTTCACCATGTTAGCCAGGATGGTCTGGATCTCCTGACCTCGTGATCCACCCACCTCAGCCTCCCAAAGTGCTGGGATTACAGGCGTGAGCCACCGCGCCTGGCCAACACTATCATATTTTTAACCATTTCCACATGTGCACATTTTCCTGAAGGCTACAGTGAAAAATGATCATTTGAGGATTTATAGAGAGCAGTTATTTTTACTATAATCTGCAATATATTATGAATTGTAAAATAGTATCCAACATAAAGTAAGTGGAAATAAAGGAGAAAGATATGTAAACATGTAAATGATATTAAACATTTCTAAGAGACATGTGGGTATTTGAATTATAAATACGACTTGGCAGTGGAGAAGAGTAATCAAATAATCCTGGAGGATACATACACACACATTCACACACACACGCACATGCACATATGTACACAAACGTATGTATTCAACAACCTACCTTTTATGGAATAACCTTGTGAACTTACATTAAAAGTTGGTTTCTGGTTTTATAACTTATGCTAGAAACAATTTTTAAAAAACATATTCTAGCCAGGGGCGGTGGCTCACGCCTGTAATCCCAGCACTTTGGGAGGCCGAGGTGGGCGGATCACAAGGTCAGGAGATCCAGACCATGCTGGCTAACACGGTGAAACCCCGTCTCTACTAAAAATACAAAAAATTAGCCGGGCGTGGTGGTGGGCGCCTGTAGTCCCAGCTACTCGGGAGGCTGAGGCAGGAGAGTGGCATGAACCCGATCACGCCACTGCACTCCAGCCTGGGCGACAGAGCGAGACTCTGTCTCAAAAAAAAAAAAGCATATTCTAAGAAGACAAAGTTAATTAAAAGTAGACACAAATATAAATAAATTGAATCTCTAGAGGGTCAGAAGTTTCAGTAACAAGATTACATCTCTATGAAATTCTTAAGAGGCTGGAGAAAACGTACAGGAACATCGGATCTCCCCTGGAAATTTATTGGGGGTTTACAGAAATTCTGTACCTTCCTTTTGGTACTCACAGTCTGATGAAGGAGACTAACATGAAAATAAACAAATACAAAGAATATGGTAAGAGTTCTAACAGAAATAAGAGACTTGATGACTGCTTGACTACTAGAGTTAAATTAAAAAAGTAAGGATAATTGTGAGATTTCTTACTTTAATGGCTGGGTGGCTGTTGTTTTTACCAAATAAAATACAGTCAGCTAGAGGAGAATGAAAGAACTCACTGAATTTATTTTGGGGTATCTTTATGTGTTGTTACTATAATGCATTAACATAAAATATGTAGTATATTCAAAAAAGTGCATAGAAAATACCATGATATTCAAATAGAGTCATCTACTCTGAAGTGGCTGATTACAGACATGAGTCTTTGTGAACTGACCCAAAAACAAGCAAGCTATCAAAGCCCAGGCTTCAGAAGGAATTAGGTATTTATCTGGTTCAGAAACAGATAGAATAATAGTGCCAACAGGTAGTTACTGGACTTACTAACCGATGGGTTTATATGTTGCAGCTTTAATCATTTGCTAAAATTAGGTAGTTACAGAGGTTTGGGCATATATTCCTACTGCCTTGGCCTACTGTCTGCTGAAGATCATGTCAAGAATGGCCTCATTGAAATAAATGGTGTCTCCAGAGTTTCATTCAAACTAAGCCTTAGAGAAAACAGAGAAGGCTTTCTAGAAGGGAGGGGTGACTGCACAAGCAGATCACACTTTGGGGGTATTCTCCATAAATTTCTTAGTGTCTCACTTCTGGCGCCCTAACAGAAAGCTTCTCTTGGTTATTGGGAACTCACTTAAATTCTTTTTTTTAGTATAGATAAGACATGCTGCCATCTCATTAGTAAATTTATTGGAAACTAAATGATAATTGTTAAATGTTTACATGTATTTACCAAGCACAATTATGCTTGTTTGTAAACTTAAGCAATATTTCTTAGCTAAAAACCTATGTGTACATTTCCACGTGGGTTAAGTTGCTCTTATACCACAACTCTGCTTAACGTTATGCCCTGTAATTTTCCACTGGCCTCTTGTGTGTTCAGTTGTCTCAAAAACAGATATATGAATGGAACTGGGCAAACCACATTTCCAAATGAAAAACAATCATTGGAGGGGAGTTGCAAAGAACAAAAGTTTAATAAATACTTTAAAATCTTTTATGTTTTGTAAGTTAAATATGTGTTGATTTTGTCTTAAGTTCTTATCTCTAGGGTACAGGCTTCATCTGTTCTATGTCTCTATATTCTAATAAGAGTTGAAGCTCTAAATGTTTCTAATGTATTTTACGACACGTTCACATTTTTCAATTCCTTACTATGAAACACCTCAGACACTCACTCACATAGGCCCAGTGTGGCATATCTTTAATAGAAGAATGCAGATGCCATAAACAAGAAAAAATTATCCCGCACAGATATTATTTGGACATCCATACAGGGAAGCATTGCCTTAGGAATATTCATCAATATTTATAACAATATATGATAAATAAATATTTACCTTAATTATATTAATTAAAGATCTTAGATAATATATTTAATATAACATCTGATAATATGTATGAATATACTACATATTAATATTTAATATAAATATTATATTAAATAAATATCTTAAACTTTTATATCAGTGGGATTGAGAACCAGAAATTGTCATAATGGAAGCAAGTATAAAGAAATCATGTTACGAAGAGTGGAATGAATATTCCACAAACAATGTGAAGTAGACACTGGATTCCAGGAAGAAGGATAGAGAGTTTTTATCAAAATGAAAAGTTCTTATGACTCTAATTTTAGGCTCGTAAGAAACTACTCTTGCTGCAAAAGTCAAAAAGGCTGAATTATGGACGGTTTGGTATTCACTATCATTATGCAGAGGCCGGGCTGATTCTACAGATAAAAGTAATGGCTTTTCAGAAAACAGGCTGGACTTATTAACTAATGGGTTTATATGTTGCAGCTTTAATCATTTGCTAAAATTAGTAAATAAAATCTCCCATTAATTTTACATGGTAATGTTACTGTGTCCATCTTCTGATCTTCTTAAGGAGTTATTCTAAAATACATATTAATTTACTTTTGATGGATGTTAAAGCTTTTATTGTCTTTAATTTTAACTTTGTCATTACCTTTTATAGTCTTTAACTTTCAAGTTTTTTATGCTTTAGCGTTAGGAAATCTTATTCTGAATTCTTGATAAAGTTATGTTGCATGAGGTTAACAGTATTGTTTTAAAAGTGATAGCATGTTGAAATATCTGTTAATTATTGTGTGTGTGTGAGTGTGTGCATGTGTCTCCATATTTGATGCAAATTTCCTAGAAAATACAACTTAGTTTTTGTTCTAAGACTGTTTGTATCACAGAACTTAACACTGGCCTTGCACAAATATCAGGTAATTTTATTACTAACCGTTCCTCTTAGAGGAAATAAAAATCATGTAGTGGAATTAAATGAACTTTCAAAACTCAGAAAAAATAAAAAATAAATACATGAAATCTTTTCATTTACAGAAGAATATGTGGGAGCTCAGAATGGTGAAATGATTTACCAGGAAATGTATATTTATTGAGGAGAAAAGTCAACTTCTCAGGTAGCCTATTGCACAGTATGCCTGGATTCTCCCACAGGCAGAATTATGCAAGAATCACTTCATAATCCTGCTTTAGAAGCCTGGCTACTTTGGACAAAGCAGTCAACCTCTCAATTTTTAACATGGGAGACAAGCTACACATTACCACATCTCATCCTTCTTCCTGATTGGTATTCCTGGTTTGCAAGATTTTCACTGCTGGATTGGCATACCTGTCTTCCTCCTGTTTGTCCTGACCCTGCTGGGGAACAGTGTCACCATTGTTACTGTCAAGTTAGAGCCAGGCCTTCAGCAGCCTATGTATTTTTTCCTTTGCATGCTGGCAGTGAATGACATGGCCCTTGCCTCTTCCACAGCACCCAAAATGCTTGGCATCCTCTGGTTTGATGCTCACAGGATTGACTTTAATATCTGTCTCACACAACTATATTTTATCTACACATTTTGCGTTATTGAGTCAGCCATCCTTGTTGCCATGGCTTTTGACCGCTGTGTAGCTATTTGCATCCCACTGTGTTATACAACCATCCTGTCAACACCAATGGTTGTAAAAATAGGTTTAGTTGATATAATCCGAGCTATCTTTATGGTTTTGCCACATCCTCTTTTCATTACTAAGCTACAATATTACACCAAGTATGTCATCAATGATGCCTGTTGTGAGCACATGGCTGTGAGGTTGGCCCGCGCCAGCATCTTCATTTACAGAGTATATGGAATCTCTGTGGCCCTTTCAGTGATGATATTGGACCTAGGGCCCATAGCCACATCCTGTATCAAAATCCTTCAGGCAGTCTTTCGTCTCTCTTCCCAGAGCACCATCTCTAAATCAATGGGCACCTGTGCTACTCATGTCTGCACTATTCTTGTTTGTTACATACCTGCACTTTTTAGCTTTCTAATTCACTGCATTGCCAAGAAGGAATCTCGAAGTATGCACATAATTTTTGCAACTTTGTACCTTCTAGTTCCCCCGACAGTCAATATCCTGGCATATGGTATCAAAACCAAGCATATTGGAAACCAAGTGGTGGGTCCCTTTTTCTCAAATAAGAAAATTTCTATATCAAATAAGAAAATTTCTCTCTCTCTCTCTCTCTATATATATATAGAAATTTTCTTATTATATATTTTGAGGATAGCCTGGGCAAAGTGGTGAGACCTTGTCTCTAGAGCACATTTTGGTAGAATCTGTCTGGCTCATAAAGCCGTAATGCATTAACAAAAGTCATAACCTTACTCTCAATAGGTTATTTTTTTTTATTGAGCTATGCTTTTTAGCAGATATATTTTGCATGTTTTTCCTCTATTTTTTGAAGTTTTTATGGTCTTTTTTTCTTTATTTTAGAAATAAAGGAATGCCTTTTTGTGGAAAATTGTCAATAAATTCTAGAAATAATTGTTATATATTGTGATTATTTCTTATTATATATTGTTATATTTTGTTATAGTCACAATTATAAAATGAGTAGGCAAATTATTGTAACTATTTAAAATTTCTTAATACTTTAGACTCTGGAATTTATAATAATATATATTTTTTTCCAATTCAAACTCCCTACACATCCTGATGGAAAGTTCTGGAGTAAAAATAATTATTTTCAAGATAATTTTTACCAATTATGAAGATAATGATAATGTATTATCATTCAAATAATGATTACTGTGTGGCTGGTTGTTTATCAAGCTTTATACATGTGTTCACTTCTTTAGTACAGAAAGCTATGCCATGAGAGTGGTGTTATATTTGTACATTGGCATTGTACAAATTAGAAAATCAAGGCACAGAAAAGTCATGTAAGTTACACAAGGTAACTCATCTAAAGAGTAGCAATGCAATTTTGCTCAAGCATTGGTTAGATATGTTAACTATTTCCATATTGTTTATCAAAGAATCTTAGCTTTCATTATTTTTGAATCAGACTATTCCTCTCAAAAGTTTAGGTTGTATTCATCTATATTTGCTCTTCTAATTCTAGATATTGGGGTAGATTTATTGAGTCTCCCTCACCTCCTGCACCTGAAACATTCTGTCACAGTATTTTGACAAAGCCACAAAAAAGAATTGCTCCCATTTTACTAATGTTCAATCAATGCAGCCAGGAAACATGAAGACTGTGCTTTCAAAACTTAAGGAAAACTTGAAGAGTCGATAATTCTACTTGTCTGCATGCAATTTTCTTTACTTTAGCTTCAGTGAATAACAATTTTTTGGTCATGTTTTTTAAGTGCCTAAATTGAAGCAATTTACTTAGTTAAGAACATGATTATTATGCTTGCAGCATAGAAACTATCTTTGAGTATCTCTCTCAAAGAAGCTCTGTTCAAAACGTCATTTTATTTTAAGACCATTTTCATAAGTGAGGGGATTTTGAGTTGGAAATTATTGAATTTTAATAAACATTGGAGTATATTTTTCAAATATCTAATGGACATATGTGTGTTCTCACATGAATTAGCTTCTTACAATTTTAGCTTTTTATGTTTGTACCCTATAACCTTATTCTTATTTGTTGATTCATTGAATATGTATCATGTTAACTTTTGTATATAATTATATAGCAACAAGACGTGTTTTTTTTATACTAATGACATATTTCTCTACATTTATTCAATGAGTATATATTGAGTGGTTCTATCAGTCATTTAAGAGCTAGGTTCTGTGGAAAGAAAAGTCAAGTTCAAATCCTATTTTCGTTGTTAATAGCAAATTAATTTTATTTTTAACTTTGTACATCTTTGGTTCCACCACCTGTTAAATGAATAAAATAGTGTATGCACTTTATATGGTTAGGGTAATAATTAAATGTGACAGCGAATGGAGCACAATTATCACAATAGTTAACAAACTCTTATTCCCTAATACTAGTGTCAGTGCTATAGCAGCCACTAGAAATATGTTGATCTAGATGTCTAACTAGATATTGCCACTAGAAAGGTCCTATTCCTTGAACTCAATGCCAAAATTGGACGTTTTGCACTTCTCCCCCTACCCAGACCATCTTACTAAACTTCTTATCTCAGTGAGTAAAACATCAAGTAATCAAAATTAATAAGAATCAATTATTGTCATAAAGCATACATCAAGTAAAATATATGCTAAAGTGATATAAGAAACTAATAAAAGAATAAACAAATTAATTAAAACACCATCAATGAAAATCCAGCATCTATACCAGATTTTGTAGAAAAAAATAAATTCAATGTAATGTAATTTTCAATTGTGCAGATGATTATGGAATGCCAAAAATAACACTGAGCTGGTGAAAAATTTATAACTAAGGCATATGGAAGGAAATGCCAAGCAAGGCTGAGCTGAGTCTTGAAGAATGATGACAGTTTTACTAGGTACAAAAACAGAGCAAGGGTTTCCAAGTCGAGGTAACCTCACCATGAATGTGAAAAGAAATAGTAAGAAAAGTGAAAAGACATCCAGAAGTCAGTGATGTCATAAAAGTAAAAGGACAGTTTAAAGGAAATCATACACTTAGGAAAGCAGTGGAGCCATCTAATAAGGTTGAGGTCTGACTGTGTCACTATGAAATTTATTGGTCACCTTGAGAAATAAAGAACAACGCAGTCATAATGGTCACAGGCCTACACAATCTTGGCTCTACTCTAACTCCAAATTTCAATTTTTTATTAAATGGTAATACTGCATTTTGTACTCATAGAGAGTTAATTCTACACTTGATCAACAACACAGAATATGGGTATGTCAGGCCCATGTGACTAACATAGGCAAAATCCAGGTTCTGCGTCTTTCTGTAAATCAAGTTTTATTGCAGAAGTGCTATATCCATTAATTTTTATGTTGTCTAATGAAGCGTTTGCACTAATATTATAAAATCTAAGTCATGTGAATCACTGTTTAGCTGTCTATAGTGACCTACCTTTTAGTTTCAAAGATTCTATCAAAATTTCTGTAAAAACCATATTACACAATCTACAAAAATATTTACAGCTAAACACTTGAAGAAACGAAGGTCTACTTTATTATTCAATGTTTTCTACATACACACATTTATGTGTGTAATTTATTTTTAAGTTTAATTTTGGGAATACACATCGATTTCAATGATTAAATGAGCATATATCATACCAAAACACATGATTGCCCTTGAGAAATTAATAGATTTTCCCTTTAACTAATAGCTACGGTTATGACAATTTACGTTAAAATTTATTAATTTAATCAGATCTTAGCTCAAACTAAATATGTAAACCATGATATAAATGTATTTATTATTTTATCTCCTGTCCTAGTGAATTTCATGATTATGATTCAAATATACCTATATCTATATTTGTATATCTATCTCCATACCTATTTATCTTCATCTATATCTATCTATAGATATATGTAGTAAGTTGTATAACTATTTAGTGGAAAATTTGGGGTTAAAATGTATGCAAGAATTTTTATTTTAGTCCCAATGTGTAAAGAGTTTGAAAATAACCAATTCCATCCTTACAGAAGAAAAAAATTTTGAAAAGAAAACCCTGAAAATCAATAAGTTTTCTTCAACTCATCAGATATATGAGGTTTAAAGGCCAGTTGCTATCCCCAAATCTGCAGCCAGGCCAATACAGAGAATCAGAGTCAATATCAGTTTACCTTAAAAGATGCCACTAGAAATTTAAACTGTCTCGCTCTGCAAATATGTTAAAAGACAATCTTCTGGGAGAAAGAAAAATGTATATATCAGAGAAATCTACAAAAAGAAAGAAAGATTATTGGAAAATAATAAAGGTATATTAAAATATTTAATTTCACTCAGTTGATTTAATAGATAACCCATTTGTCAAAGCAATAGTAGTAACAAGACACAAGATGATTATAAAATAAAGATAAATGAAATAAATAGAACAAATACTATAACGGATGGGAGGGATAAATTGGAAAAACTTCACTGTAAGGTACTTTCACTACCTATGAAGCAGTACAGTATTATTTGAAAGTGAGTTTAGAGTAACTCTAAATGTGCACTGAAAACTCTAAGGCAACCACTGAACACTTTAAAGAAGTAAAATTGATATTCTAAGAAAGGAGAGAACCCAGAATCATGTAAAATGCTTAATTAAATCCACAGAAGAAAGACAGAAAAAAAGGGAAAATAAGAAAATAAAAAATAAAGAATAAAGGAAAGGAATAGAAAAGCATAACAAATGCTTGGCAGATATTAATCCAACTATATTGATAAATTCTTCAACTGTGAATTGTCAAAATGCATCAATTAAAATATAAAGATTTTCAGAAAGAAAAAAAAAACTAAGATAAACCTGCATATTATAAGAAACTCAAGTTAAATATAAAAACACATAAAGGTTTAAAGCAAACATATAAAAATATATACAGTGCTAACTAGCCAAAAGAAGTTGGAGCAAATATATTAATTTCAGACAAGGCAGAAATAAAGTGGGTATCACATTATGATAAAAGATGAACTTTCCAAAAAGACGTTAACAATCATAAATGTGTATGAACTTAACGATAGAGAATAAAAATACGTGAGCAACATGGACATATCCACTATTGAAACTTGAACTCTCCTTTTTCAGTAATTGATCATACAGGCAGGGTATCAGTAAAGGTATAGGTAACTTTAAAAGCATAATCAGTCTATTTGATCTGTTTGACATTTATAGAATGCTTTGCTCAACAACACAATAAATATTCTTTCAAACTCACATGGAACATTCATAAAGATAAGACTGATTCTGGGCCATAAAAAAACGCCTTGACAAATGAAAAATAATAGAAACAATACAAAGTGAGTTCTCATGCCACAACTACATTAAACTACATAAAAACTACTTTTTAAGCAGAAAGTTAGAAAATTCTCAAATATTTGTATTAAACAATATACTTCTATGTAATAATAAGATAAAAAAGTCTCAAGTTAAATATTTTAAAAACTCTATATTGTGAGCTAAATATAAATGAAGATAAAACATCAAAATCTGTGAGATGCAGTGTTATAGGAAAATTTATATCCACAACTGCATGTATTATAAGAACATAAATATCTATAATTAATAATCTAAGCCTCTACATTAGGAGAATAAAGAACAATTTAAATCTAAAATAAAAAGAGGAAAAAAATTAAAAACTTTAAAATGTATCAAATATTTGAATACAGGAAAAAATTCAGAAAT